CCTGCCACTTCTAGCACATGGGGCGGGCACCCTACTCCTTTGAGCCATAGGTACCGCCCCCCCTTTTTTTTTAGCCCCCAGTAGAGAGCTGTGGTGTCATAGCTCACAGCAACCTCCAGCTCTTGGGCTTAGGCGATTCTCTTGTCTCAGCCTCCCGAGTAGCTGGGACTACTAGGCACCTGCCACAGTGCCCAGTTATTTTTTGTTGCAGTTTGTCTGGGGCTGGGTTTGAACCTGCCATCCTAGATCTATGGGGCCAGCGCCCCTACTCACTGAGCTACAGGCGCTGTTCTATAATCTCAAACTCTTGGCCTCAAGGGATCCTCTTGCCTCAGCCTCCCAAGAAGTTGGAACTACAGGCATGTGCCACAATACCCAGCTAGTTTTTCTATTTTTATTTATTTTACTTTATTTTCATTTCTATTTTTAGTAGAAATAGTGTCTCACTCTTGCTTGAGCTGGTCATGAACTTCTGAGCTCAGGAAATCGACCTACCCTCCAAGAGTGCTGGGAGGATTATGGGTGTGAGCTAATTCTCCTGGCACTTTTTTTTTTTTTTTTTTTTTTTTTTGAGACAGAGCCTCAAGCTGTCTCCCTGGGTAGACTGCCATGGCATTACAGCTAACAGCAACCTCCAACTCCTGGGCTTAAGCGATTCTCTTGCCTCAGCCTCCCAACTATGCTGGGACTACAAGCACCCGCCTCAATGCCTGGCTATTTTTTATTGTTTGTTTTTTCTTTTCTTAGAATTTTTTTTTTTTTTTTTTAGAGACAAGAGTCTTACTTTGTCGCCTTGGTAGAGTGCTGTAGTGTCACAGCACACAGCAACCTCTAGCTCTTGGGCTTAGGCGAGTCTCTTGCCTCAGCCTCCCACTTAGCTGGGACCACAAGCACCCGCCACAATGCTCAGCTATTTTTTGTTGCAGTTCGACCAGGGCCAAGTTCGAACCCACCATCCTCAGTATATGGGGCTGGCGCCCTACTCACTGAGCCATAGGCGCCGCCCAGTGCCCAGCTATTTTTGGTTGTAGTTGTTGTTTGGTAGGTCTGGGCTGGATGTGAACTCGCCATCTCTGGTGTATGTGGCTGGCGCCTTAGCTGCTTGAGCTATAGGTGCCGAACCATCCTAGTATCATTTTTAACCTTTATGAAAAACTTTTTCATGCCTGTAATCCTAGCACTTCGGAGGCCGAGGTGGGTAGATTGTTTCAGTTCACGGGTTCAAGACCTCATCTCTAAAAAGTAGCTAGGTGTTG